CTACTCTCTCTCTATTTATATATATATATATATATATATATATATATATATATATATATAAGGGCATAAAAAAACTGTGTGTCTGACTTGTTTGTTTTGTTACCTAACTACTCCTAGGTTGCTAGGCCAGTTTCAACCAAATTTTGTGGTATGACAGTTTGGAACGAAATGGCATGTTAATGGAGGGTTCAAAAACCCCTCCACCCCCACTATTGATGTTACTGAGCATTTATTATCTTTGACATAAGCTAATGTTAACTAAATTCAAAGGTGGTGCCACACCCTTACACCAAACAAAAAAAACTACATATATTAAATTTTCTATAACACAACATACACAGTGTGGGGGAAGGGCACACAAACATCATATATATTTCAGAGAGTGCACTAGCACTTTCTATGGAGGAATGCAATGAAAAAAATGGCCAATACTATTGCAATAATACATAAACTCAGATGAAGTTTATACTGCAACAGCCACCACAAGACTGCTATGAGGAGCAGTTTCTTGAGTTAGCCACTTCCTACTTTGATCCGTGATTTTACAACTTCATCCCATTAGACACTTCTGCATTCAATTAATTAATAACGTGAAACAGTGTGGAAGGACATTAAGAGCTTGGTGTTGAAAGTGGGTAACAGAAAGCACCCCTCCTGCCACTACTTTGGCTGCTACCTCTTTGTACGAAGTCACCCTGACCATCACACAGTGTAAAACATGTTTTATGTATACACATAGTAACTTCTTAAAGCATTTATAAAACTTTGGGTGAGGTGATAATGAATACTGTAATAACATGTTATGTTATAAATAAATTGTTATTTATCATAGCATCCACCCACATTTTTTGAAGTTCATAACCTGGATAATGGACAGGTAATTCAGCTTGTAGAAAAATAATTTTTAATCACTACTAGTTTTGGAGCATTATATCTTAGTGCTTAATATATATTTTGTGTTCTAGAATTTATATTTGAAAGCTCGGAACAATTATCATGAGCATTTGCAAAGATCATACAGTTCACATACTTCATTAGTTGTGTTTAAAACCTTTGGCTAATTACCTTGCATTCTGTTTATTGTTTTTGATGGAAGAGTTAGTACTCAAGTAGGTACTAAGTACAACAATAAAACCATAAAATTACAGAAAATAGATGAGAAAAATTAATATTAAAACACATATGAAACAGGGAAATTATGCATCATAAGGAGATTAAAAAAGGTATTGTTCATTTTATTTCCTACCTTTTATCTTTTCATTTCACTGTATGTTGATCTTGATTGATTATTTTGCTACAATTAGTGTTGGAGTAGATGAAATAGCAGATAAAATTTTTTACTGAAAAAATACTTTTTATATTCATTTAAAATGCTCTAGAGGTTATGCAAATGAAATATGAAAACTGTAGGAAGACAAAATGTATTTTATTATCTTATATAAATGATTCAGTCCCAGTCAGACTGACTCAGTACATTCACATACAAATATTTAGTAAAAACACTTTATCAAAAAATCAGATTTTTTGTGTAAAACAGACTTGTAATGTTTACTAAAAGATTGCCAAATTTTGTGAAAATATATGTAGTAAATTTAGAGTTATAGTATATATTACTATGTATAGCTTCACAGAAATAGGGTCAATTAAATGCAGTGTTATAGGAATTTTTTAATTGTAACATGTTATGTTTGACTTTGAAGGGCCTTGGTTTTTCCTTGTCAATTTTGCTCATTGCAATAGTATTTTCCTTTCTAAAGAGAGCATGTGATATTTATTATGGATTTCATTTTGTTCCATCCATTTATTTTACTTTTAGTGTAGTCTGTTAGACTACTACCATCTAAAGTTATGTATTATTTATGTTTTAAAATGTACATTTCAAGTGCACATGAAGTTATATTTCCATAACGAATCTACAGAAAAAAACTAGGCCTACTTATTTACACTGTTCAAGTACACACTTTCATGTAATGCTACATTCGTGTATGAGAATCTGCTAATGTGTTCCCGCTGTGATGTGTTGCTTTCAGAGATGAACAGACTGTTTACATGGTAAAAGCCAGGAAAAAACAAAAAAATTTAAAATAACCTATGTGAAAAGTAAACATTTGAAAATGTGAATATTAGAAAATTTAAAAAACTTCCAAAATGATGGATTCAAAGAAGGAGGAGGTATTGTTAATTATATTTCATAATTTGCAAAATCTTATTTTACTGTATCTTGATAAATTAGCTACAGTTAGTGTTAGATTAGAAGAAATATGTGATAAGGTACAAAGTTTTACCAAAATGAAAAAAAAAAAACACTTGATATTTATAGAAATATTTCTTTTCTTAGAATGAAAGTCACCTTGCTCTCAGAGTGACTCAGTAAAAGATCCACATGCACTTTAGTAAAAATACTTTGTTAAAACTTCAATTTTTTGTGTAAGACAGACAATTTATCAAGACACAGTAGATTTTGCAAATTATGAAATATAATTAACAATACTTCCTCCTTCTTTGAATCCATCATTTTGGAAGATTTTAAATTTTCTGGTATTCACATTTTCAAATGTTTTCTTTTCACATATATACACCTGGAAAAAAGTTAAGCACCCCCGTGTTTTTTTCAAGCGATTCAGATTCGACG